CATCCTTCCTATCCAAGTTGTACAAGTGAAAAGTTTGGGAATCATTCTTTATTTTGCTCTTTTCTTTCCCTCTTTCCTCCACATCCAGTCAATCACTAATTCCACCAATTCCATTTCCTCAGTATCTCTCAAATCTATCCATCTATCTATAACTCTTATGGCCATTATCTATACTGTTCAAACTACTTATTTCTTGCTTTAACTACTTTAACAGCCTCTTAGTGCTTCTTCAAATTTTTCATGTAGAGAATAACACTGTAAGATACTCTGAGATGAACTGTGAAGAATTTGGAGGTATCTATTTGGGGCTTAATAAAAGAATGTAATTGCTTTTCTCAAAATAAACAAAACATTAGAGATGATATTAAGCATTGAATTTATATAAATATCAAATATTTTTCAAAATTTTAATAGGAATTTTTAATATATTTTCCTTCATAAATTTCACTTTTTAATATAAGATTTTCTGCTTAAAATGCCCACTATCAATTCCTGATCAAGACCTTTAAGGATGTTCCCTTCAAACTCTTGACAGTCATCATCAAAGAGAAACTTTATTCTCTTTGATGAAAAGAAATGAAAAAAATGTTTAAATATTTTTAGAACCATTTTAAAATTTGCAACAGTTGAAATCATATTTAAGACTCTAACAGCTCTTCCTCTTCTTTAAATGCAAATGTAATGTTCAAATTTCTTGTGATAATATGAATGAATTTTGAAACCAGTTGAACTTTTTCTTATCAAATATTCAAAAACAACAGAGATTCTATCTGCAGGACATAAAGGCACCATCAAGGCAGTTGCCTTGCAGCCAGCTTAGCTGAGGGAGTAAAAACTAAAACATTAGTTAGCTACAAACAGAAATGTCCGTTATATGTAATGTTGAGAATGCTTTGGAACTGTACCCGCCTCTACTCCCCCCCTCCCCTTCACAGGCCTAACTTTACCATCCACATTATGGGCATCTGAAACACAAACCCCTTCAGCAGCCCCATGGGCTGCAAAAGACCTAGGATAAAGATGTAGGGAGTAGCAAATATGGAATAAATTCAAATATTTGAGAAATACATGAATTTGGGGAGCTGCTCTCCAGCTGTGTCATTGAATTGCTAAAGAGTTGGCTATCCTTCATGTATTGCAGTTTTGAATATTTGAACAGAAAACTATTTCTGAACTTCCTGGAAAGAATAATGTTTGATCAGGTTGGGCTAGTTTGGTTCTAGAACAGGCAGTAAAGATAATACTTTCTAGATATACAGCTCAACCAGAATAGACATATGAATAATGAACATTTGTTGGTTGCCAACCAAACAAACATTCCCTGCTTTGCTCCTCCTAGGAGTCTTCAGATTTTTCTTCTGGTTGGGAGTTCCTCCTTCTCAAAGCCCATGATTCCTGGAGTCCTCAGTCTAAGTTATACAAGATATTTTCAACCTCAAACCTCCTGTCTCCTATTGCTCACTCAAGGTACAGTTGCCAAGGGCTTTTTGAAAATGGAAGTTCCTTGCTCTTCTGAAATAGCTACCAAAAGAGACACTCTCTGTCATTGTACTGGAGAGTGTGTATGTCACATGAAAAGCGAAACTGCTAGAGCCTACATTCTCAATGGGGGTGAAAATTGGGGAGAGAAAAAAAAATCTTACTCTTTTTATGTATAAAGCATAAAACAGGCATAAAGTCCATAAACAGATATGTACCATATCTGTGGTATTAAAACTGGGGCGGGGGGGCGCGTTGAGAAAAAAAATCTTAAAAGGCTCTTAGGGAAGCAATAAAGAAAAAAGGGTTGAGAAACACTGTTCTAGAGCAATGGCAAATACCACAAAAGGCAGAAGACAATAATGAAAACTAAATTATTGATATCATTAAGTTTATGAATCAGTTTATGACACCTAAAATCTGTCCTAGCTCTTGACTTTCCACTTAACTAGGCAAATAAATTCCTTTTAATGTTTAAGCCATTATGTGTTGAGCTCCTGTTATTCATAACAAACGTCATATTAACTGACAAAATATGGAACTCGTTATCTGATGTATTATACATGCCGATGCAACAGAATATTAAAGTGGAACTATTTTAGTCTGTTTCTGCTAAGTCTCCATGAAAATAGGTGCCAGATATCCTCATATCCAAAATGAGCCAAGTAAGATGAGAATCCCACTTAAAACATTCAAAGAGATAGTGGGAAATTGATATCAAAACTCTTGATCCTCATCCCATGGATAGTGCAGAAGAGTTAAAATTGAAGACAGGATTGAAGGTTAAAGAGTAGTTATTAAGACACTGACACGAGGGTAGTTGGTGGAGAGTGCTCAAACTGGGAGGGACTTCATGAAGACTCTTTAAAAGCCTTGTTTGTATCTCTGGAAATTTGTGTAGACACAACAGACTGGTAACCAAAGTTTAAATTGTGAGGTTCAACCTTCCATTCTTAACTCATTAAAGTTAAAGAAGTTAAAGGGAATACAAAGTAAAAGTTAAGGTGAATTAAGATAAGTTCAGCTCCCTTCCCTCATTTCTCTGGATTCAAACTGAATTACTTAGGAATCTTTGATTGCAAGTGACAAAAATACAACTTGACTCAGCTTAAATGAAAACTGGGAATTGACATAATCAAATCACAGGAGGTGAACTGGACTTTGGGGATGACTGCATCCACACATGAATAATGCTGGGACTTTATCACAAGCTAGTGAAAAGGTTCCAGGCAGACCTCCCTGCCTGCCTCCCCGCCCCCCCCCCAAAAAAAGCAGTCTGCAAGCACATTGGGGAACTGACTTTAGTATCAGTCTCATAAGTCCAAATCAATGGATAAAATATAGAAGCAGAAATATTGGAGATTTCAAAATCATGTAGGAAGGTCACTTTGAAATGCATCCAACAAAAAAATGATAGAAGTATGTGTGCATGGGTAAATAGATGGACAAATATAGAATAAAGCAAGTATAGTAAAATGTTAATGTTAGAATCTTGATGGTAAGTATATAGGAGTTCACTGTAAAATTCTTTCAACTTTCCTGTGTTTGATTTTTTTCCTAACAATGTTGGGGGCGGGGAGAGGAAGTCAAACAGAATAGCATCATGGCTGTAAGGATTAGTCCCTTGCCAGCAGGATATTAGTTCTAAACTGAAGGTACAGAAAACAGACCTTACACTCCAGGCAAAGGGAGAACTAGCAAAAGCTATTCATTTAACCAGAACATGGAACAAACATTTCTTGTGCTTCCACTTGGTAGACCCACTGAATTAAGATCAAGGTGTTAACGCAGTAATGACCTGCAGAGTGATAGCATGAGGTAAGAGGTGACCATCTTAATTTGAGAAATCCAGAAATGACAGGTGAAAATGATAGTTATCCTATTGACTTAATCTGCTTCTGTTTAGTTATTAGTGCACTAAACATCATTTTAAATGTTGAAATAAAGCCCTGATTTCGCACTTGGACAAATGAGTAGATGGAGGGTATACTTCACAGAGATAGAAAATGCACACAAAAACATTTGTAGTGGCTAACATTTGCATTTGCTTTTGGAATCTTGAGTTTAGGTGCTTAAGTTACACCTAAATAGAGATGTTTAATAGGCTGGGAATTCAGGTAATATTTGAGCATTGGGAGATTGGAAGTCATCATAAAAGTGGTCTAGGTATTCAAGACACTGTGTATCATCCAGGGTGTATATGGAGAAGAAATTCTTTCATTCTTTTTATAGCCATTCACCAAACTATCATTATTACCAGAACTACAAAAAAATGACCGATGTTTTTCAGTTCAAAACTTAATTTCCAAATCCAATGACCCATTTGCTATCCCAAATGTGTTTAACTTACTTCTGTACAGCATTTATTGGGTTGGCTACTCTTTAATTGGAAAGCTCTCCCCCAGTGATATTCCCATCACCATTCCTCTCACTTCCCCCTGACTGTTCCTTTTCTGTCTCTTACCCTACTGAGTCTTAGAATTTGACATTTATAGGGTTTCATCTTTGGTCCTTAAGCCTTCATTTCTAACTCCAATTTCCCCAGTTAGGCTTTAGGTCAAATCGACTAAATAAAGTTTAAAGGCTAGTTTAAAACTAAAAATGGTATTGATAGCACAACACAGGCAACACTATTCACCTTGGAGCTACACTGACCTAGCTTCTACTAGCCTGTGAGGTTCATAATCTTTTTCATCTCTCTGAGCTTATTTTCTCATGTCCTTAAAATGGTAGCCAAAATATTTAATTTGCAAGGATACTGATGATTAAATTATAAACGTAAAGCACCTGAGTGCTCCGCACTCTATAAGTACAATTAATACAACCCACAACTTCAGATGAATACAAGTTATGCCAAGTTATAAATATCTACCTTACCTAATATTAACTTCTGTTCGTGTGCACTCAGCCTACACAGTGTTATTCAGGTTACATGCGTTGACTCGCTCTGTATTATTCTCTTTAGAATCTCTTATAGCATCAGGGACTGGCTCAAAATAACAGTAGCAACTGCTTCCTTCCATACACCGCATTGAGGGAAACACATTTCCCAAGGCTTCTTAAATAGTTCAGTTTAGCTTAGAGGTTAAAGTAAAAAGCTTCGTCACAAAAACTTAGTCCAACACTAGCCCATCCGTCCGCAGGTCTCTGAGAGAAAAGGGAGCGGAGCCCTAACACAGTTTACCAGAGTTGAAACCTTAGTTTTTATTTTTCCCGCTGGTCTCTGAACGACCAACCGCATTAATATTTCGTCCTACTCCGCGCCACTTCCGTTCGCGCATTTTAATTACGTCAGCGCATCAGCTCTCGCGGTATCACCCGATGCTGAGGCCCTTTAATAAAGATCTCGCGAAATTTGTTCTGCAGTTCCAAGCCCGCCACTCACTCTCACCCACCCCACCCCCAATCTGTCCTTCCTTTCCCTGTCTCAGTCACAAAATTCTCCCCTCCCCTTTCTTGAGCTCACAGCCCTCCTCCAATTTCCGATTTCAGGCCGGAACCGGAAGTTCAGTGGGCGGGGCCCGGCGGCGGAAAACGCAGCGGAGCCGGAGCCGGGACTCGGCTGTGGCCGCTGTCCCTGTACCCGCCACGGATAGCCGTGGCTTCAGTCTGAAGGTCGGTCCGGAGGCGGGTGGGCGCGAGGCTCCCCCGGAGTGTCCGGGTGGCAGCCTCCCCAGGCCCCCCGGGCTTCGCGAGGGATCATGTCTACAGCCTCCGCTGCTTCCTCCTCTTCTTCGTCTTCGGCTGGTGAGATGATCGAAGCCCCCTCCCAAGTCCTCAACTTTGAAGAGATCGACTACAAGGAGATCGAGGTGGAAGAGGTGAGTGAGGCCCGGCACGGGGGCACCGGAACCGGCCTTTGCGTGGTCCCGACTCTTAAGGTGCCTCCCCCGGCCCGTCTGATTCTCTGGGCCCCGTCGGGTCCACCCGGGAGTCCCCACACAGGCTAGGTATAGAGGGGACTTTGCCTTCAGATGCTCTGGGAAAGCTTACTTTTTCCTCGCTTCGGCACTTTTGTGTTTGGTCCGGTGCCTGGCGTTCGATCATCTGAAACAGCAGGATGAACTGGTGAGATGGTGTGGTCCACCAGTTCTTAAATACATGTATGTAGTAAATTCATCGAAGACCATGGTCGTTTTGGAGTTGCAGTTCACTGAGATTTGGTGTTCTTAAGGGCCAGCGATTGTATTATGTTTGACTTATAGCTCAGTGCCTGGTACGTAATGTGTGTTCAATAAATGCTTGATAAATAAAGATATCATCATGTCTAAATGAAGTGTTTCCCCAACTACCGAATGGTTCTGTTTCGCCGATTCTATAGAGCAGTAGTCATAGTATTAAATGGTCTGCCTTCAGTTGGACTAATTTGGATAAATTTTACCATTAGTAATGTAAACTACGATGAAAAAATGTTTCAAGGTAGCATATTCCGAAGAGATAATGATTTCGGTGACAACCACAATATAACACCAAACCAGAAATCGCTCTTAGAAAATCCAAATCATTCTTTATTCTGTATTAAGTTATCTTAGAGAAAGATAGTAATGTGCTTTTAACATGTTTGTTTTCAAATATACAGAGTAGATTGGTTCTAAGGACCACAAAATTTAGAAAAGTAAAAACTATATATATTTTAAAGATACACTTTAGAAAGTGTTAAAGCTTTAGTTGAACATAGTATCAGTTACCATTTATTCTTCATTTTTAAAATTTATTAAATATTTTGCAGTATATATGCCATAAAGAATACTGTGTATCCTATGTTACAGACGTTCAACGAGTTATCTCTACTTTAAAAATCCAAAATTATTTTTAGGCAGTGGCAAGCTAAAGTGGTGAGATAATTATCATTCAACAAATAATTTTTTTTTTCTATGCATGTTTTGGGAGAAAATGGATTCCTTAATCATATCTTTTTATGGCAAAAAGTAATCATTGAGAACAGCCTCATTTTACAAGGTAGCATAAACAAGGCCTTTGGAGTTAGAAGGTTCAATGTATCAGGTATACTACTTATTAGCAGTGTGATTTGAAGCAAGTTTCCTAACTAATCCCTTTGAGCATTATAGCTTTATTCCTTAACTATAAAACAGGGATAATAATTTCTATTTAATTTTATCTGTATACTTCCTTATTAGGCAATAAAATCAAAACACCCAACATGGTACCTGACACTTACTACTAGAAAACTGAGTTCCAGAGAGGAACAGTGACCCTCTTTAAGGTCACATGGCTAAAAGAAGGACCCATATTTTAGAAAGAGGAGGGAATTTATTTGTGTGTATGGATGTGTGTTTTCTGTTGAGGCTATGATAAATTCCTTTTTCAGAAGTGGATAGTTGATCCGCTTTCATGGCTAACTTTCTTTTTTAAGAAAAATTCAATGAGTCAGTATGGAAGAATTGCAGTTTTTAAATAAGCATTTACGTCTACTCTGTGGCAAACTGCTGTACTTGTAGACTACAAATTGTTATATAATAATAACTTGTACTACTAAATGCTTTCACAGACTTAAATCATTTGATTCTTACAACCTTCATTTTCTCACACTACTTTCTAAAGCATTTTACATTATTGCCTTTTGGAAGAATGGAAGTTACTGAGGGGACATTCATCATTTTACTGCTCTTTGCGGAAAGCTGTTTAACTTCTGATGAAGTTTTATGTTTCTAAAGATTTTTCTTTCAGTTTAGATATTGTTTCAACCTTTCTTTATTAGTATACTTAGGACATTCCTGAGGAGTAAATTTTTGTTTTCAGATGAAAATTTCTAAAATTAGCTGGTTATTTGGTTTAGTTTTCATTTTTTAATACCCCATTTATTTTCACTTTAAAGATTGAATTTGGACCTTTCTAATGTTGAAAACATTACATAATTCCCATTACATTTACTTGCACACACTAAAACAGTGTTATATAATCCAGAGTACTATAGGCACTCAGTAATAACTATTTCTCAACTTAGATTTTGCTTCTAGATTAAAATCAAAAATAAGAGAACAAAGAAAATGACCAGAAACAAAAAGTATTTTACATTGCTTTTAGTATTTTAAATAGTACAAATACATTGTCTATAAATAAAATTATATTCTGTATTTCTTAAATAACAATGTAATTGAAGCAGCATTATATTGATTCAGTTAGAAACTGTGTAAGAAAAAGACTCCAACCACAGACCAAATATGCAGTCATTTAGTAGATATTTTAGTGCATCTTTTTAAGGCATCAGCTGATTGTAATCCTTACATTCCTAATCTTATGACTCAGTAATACCAGGGCTGCACTTCCTAAATTCAGTTCTGATATCAAATTATGTGAGGTCTCAGCCTCAGAAACCAGAGACCTCAAATTATGTGAGGTCTCAGCCTCAGAAACCTTAAAAACTTTTTTTTTAAGCCACCTAGTTTTTACCATTCTGGAAGAGAATGTTAGAATAAATTGTGAGGTATGTACATTGAAGACTAGGTTGCAAAAAATGGTAAAGGCAGTGTGGTGTGGTAAAAAGTGTATTGGGCTGGGTATTTTAAAAAATTGAATGTCATACTGATTCTACCATAATATTTTCTGTAGCCTTGAGCAGGTAACCTAGTTTTTCTGGGTGTCTGACTTCTCATGTGAAATGAAGGATTAAACATGATCATTTAAGGTCTCTTCCAGTTCTAAAATGAAAACACATTCATTATTTTCAGTATTTTTGCTCTGTTTCCACAGTAAGCTCTACATGATCTCTTGTGGAATGTAATTGGTGACCAACCAACCCTGGTTAGGCAGGACAAATATCCCCATTTTTCAGATATTGACAAATGGTCATAGAGTTTGATTTACTAGAAACCTCATGTCTAAGTAAATGGTAGAGCTGGGAATCGAATTTGAGATTTCTCACTCATGAGTTAGTTGCTCTTTCTTCTAGATATACAGTGTTGCTTTAGTTCTTTTTGAAGCACTCTGACCAAACCTTATTCTGGGAATGGAGAAACAAAATACTGATTTTCTTTACAGTGGTTGGTCCTACACATTTAATGAGCATTCTCTTCTGTGTAGAATACAGCTAAGATACTGTGGAAGATGAATAGAAGAATGCTAGGATTCTCTTGAAATGTTTGACTTATTGTGAGACTAGAATAAACACAGAACAGTTAATAATTAACATTTTCAGAACCATGAATTTAAAACTGTGGCTATAGATAACCGAGCACTGAAGCCATAATTTGAAAGTAGGGTTAAGCACAGAAGACTTCATTGAATGGAAAGTAGTTTGAAACCAGATTTTGAATAAGGTAAGCATCATAGATTGGTAAAGGCACAAAGGTGAATTGTCTTTGCACTTGTTCCTCTGCCTAGAATTCTCTTCCCCCAAGAACTTCACAGGGCTGGCTCCTCTCACCAAGTCCCACCTCAAATGTTTATTCCTTAGGGAAACTTGCCCTGAGTAACCTAGATCTTCGTCAGTTCTGTTATCCTTTGTGGCACTTAACCAGTAAGCAAAATTGTGTATCCCCCAGCAAAATGTAAGGTGCCTTATTCACACTTGTAAACACCAATGTGTAGAGAACCTAGTTTTTCTATAAATATTTGTTGAATGAGTAGTTGAAGTTATCACTGCATAATCATGTGGATTTAGTGCTCATCCAGTTCTTTTATACTGCATGTGATAAAACCAGAGGTTGCAGTAAGTATGTGATTTGGCTAAGGCAGCATTTAAACTAGAAATCTGATTCTCTATCCAAATGTTGATTCCCTTATACTCCATTATACCTAGCAAATAAGTTTGTTTAGCAGGGGTTTTAAAAATGCTGTAAAGGGTAGATGCTATAAGTAAACCATGTATTAGTGTGCTTTCACTAAAATCCTAAAAAGACCCTATTTGGCGTGGCTGCTTTTTAAAAGGGAGACCTACAGTGCTGACATAAAGTATAATATGAGCAAGGCACATATAATCACTACAGTATTTATATGTTGTTAAGCTTCATTATAGAGACCCAAACGTTTTGTTTTAAAGGGAAATGTAGAAAGAACTTTGGCAATGATGTATATTTTGTAGTTTTAGAAGTATATGGGCAACTGATAATGGAGAAAAACCTTGTTTATAGTGGCCTGAAAAAAAACCTGAGTCTGTAAATGTGTTAGTATTTAATTGTGGATATCCAGAATTATTAATAAACTCTTCCATATGAAACTTAATGATCATTGGTTTCATTAGAAATCTGAAATTGGGGCGCCTGGCTGGCTCAGTCGGTTAAGCGACTGCCTTCGGCTCAGGTCATGATCCCAGGGTCCTGGGATCGAGTCCCACATCGGGCTCCCTGCTCTGCATGGAGCCTGCTTCTCCCTCTCCCACTCCCCCTGCTTGTGTTCCCTCTCTCGCTGTGTCTCTGTCAAATAAATAAATAAAATCTTTAAAAAAAAAAAAAAAGAAATCTGAAATTGTTAGCAGTGAAGAGATAAGCACACTATAACTTATATTGTGTGTGTGTGGCTTAAAAGATGACATGGGCATATTATTTGAAAGAAAGGCCTACTAACTGGGCCAGATGTCTATGGCAGGTTTTAAAAGACTGCGTGAAAATTCAAAAGTAAGTTTGAATAATCAAAGCTTTACTTTTATGTTATCAACCCTGTCTTGTCAGCAGATGGGAGTTCTGCTCTACCACAGTTTATTAATAGATATTGAAGTTCTAAGTTCTGAAATAGTTGGAGGCTCTAAGTTCTAATGAATAAACGTAAGATCTATGCTTGTTCTGTCATGTTCCATATTTCTAGCCAGAGCAGTGGCAGCATAGCCAGGGTCCATTCACATAGTCCACCAAGCAGGGCCAAATCA